TAATAATAAAATAATTTATTTTTGGTTTAATATTATAAATTTTATAAAGATAATAATTAAGTATTCTGTTAGAATTTAATGATTATACTAATTATATTTTAGATTTTTTATATTTAAAATGAGATGTTTATCCTGTATTTAGTTGTGTTTATCTGCAGTTAGTTACACGAATTCAGATATGGGATGAAATCGTTTAGGGATGAACGGGTTTAAGAGTTTTTAAGAGTTTTAAGAGTTTTTAAAAGTTTTAGCCAAATTTCTTATAAGATAGTATAGATATATAAATAAAATTATTGTCATTTAGAAATTGTCAACTTTTTATTTATTTATGTATTTATTTTTTATTTAGGACTCGATAATTTATCCTTGTAGGGATATAAAAAAAATTAATAAACTTTTAATTTTTCAAAAATATAATTTCTAAGACATTAATAAATATAAAATCTTTCAATTTATAAAATATTCTTAGAGTTTGTTTGTTTACCTGTTAATAGTTCCATTAAGAGGTGACATTTGAATCGTTTAGAGATGAATCTTGTTTGGCAAAAAAAAAGTCTGACTCTTAATGGTTTTAAAACCCTCTGAATGATTTTTTATCATAAGACCCTCTTAACCATTCAACGCCCTAATTAATTACCAAACAATTATATTTTATTTTGCACTATATCATGAGAGTCTCTTAATCATTCTGCACCAAAGTACCATTTAGTAACTGCCATATTCCTAGAATTTTACTTGTATGCAAAATCAAATATTCACATCTTAACAAAATCACAACATACATACGTAATTATTTGATGAAATGTTTTATGCTCTCCATATTATTTATCTAAAGAAAGTAAATGATTTTAGAAAAAATGTATATAAGAAGGAATGTGAAAAATACTCTTTCTAATTCAAAAAGATATTAAGGGGGTGTTTGGGATTGCTTATAAAAGCTGTTTTTTAACTTATTTCAGTCTGGCACCGGTGATAAGCTGTTTTCTGGTGTTTGGATAAGAAAAAAAACTGCTTATACCGGTGTCAAACTGGTAATAAGCTGTTTTTGATAAGTTAATCATTCCTGATTTTGAAAAACTGCTTATTACCGGTTTACAATTTTAACCCTGTTTTATTTAACTCCGGTTTGATACCACATAAGTTAATAAGCACTTTTACAAAAAAAAAAAAAAAAAAAAAAAAAACAACATAAGTTGTTTTAAATAAGCAATCTCAAACACCCCCTAAATCTTGTTATTTATTATTAACTAGAAGGGTACTCGCGCAATGCAGCGAGATAAATCTTGATTTGAATATTTTGTTTTATTCTTTATCTCAGTCGATGTTATAATATGATCTTATGTGATTTTGAAAATGCGGCAATGTTTTTATTTTTGAATAAAACATAAACTTGAAAATATCAAAAAAAAATTGACAAAATATATCGATATTAATATCAAATTAACTATTTAAAATTTCTCATTTTTGTGTAATTTTTTAATTCAACTTTTTTATTATAATTTATTTTAGATTCAATAACGAAGTAATTTATATTTGGTTTAATAATATAATTTTCTTATAAAGATAATAATTAATTATTTTGTTAAAACTCGATAATTACTCTGATTATATTTTAAATTTTTTATATTTTAAAATGAGATATTTATCATCTATTTGATTATGTTTATCCACAGTTAGTTACATAAATTCAAGCATAGAGCTTTTATAAGTTATATTTACACACAATTTACTTGTAATCTTGAATTTTAAGTAATATGCATTAATAAACAGTATTTAATGCATAAAAAATAGTTTTTAAATTTTTTTGTCAAATACTTTATAATATAATATAGATACATTTAATATATGGGACAGGATGAGGATCACGTTACCCAGCCTCTCCATCCCTGGTTTTTAAATTTGGGGACCCCATCCCCATCCTAGCCTAGTCCCGGTTTTACAAGACGGGGACATCGGATTCCCTAGTAGTAGAACGAGTTTCATTCTCATGCCTAATATTCATAACAACAAACAATAAACTCGAAAAATTAAAACAACCTGAAAGTATATGAAACCTTAATTCACAGCTTATATATCTGGAGTAGATATATATATATAAATATAAACACCATCTACAATTGATGTGTGATCATCAATCTCACCATTAAATCTACAACCACATGTTAACAAGTAGTACAACGGAATGTCGAACAAAAAAGGTTCAAGAAATCCATGAATTTCGACAAGCCGAGTGGGGAGACCATCTGAATTCCATCGTTTGATTGCCGGCTGCTGAAATGTTAAACGATCTCTTCCAATCATGAATTACGGCAGTAAGATCGGCGACCTTGGCACTGATCCTCCGGCAACAGTTGGCATGAACAGTGGAGACCACATGAACATCTCTGCTGTCTTGACAAAATCCACTGAAATAAATGGTGTCCAAAAACCTAACCCTAAGACCCAACCTTCTGAAAGCTCCTTCTCTGGTTAGGTCAAGAAGAACGTCTTGTTCTTTCTTGCCAGCTGAGTTGTTCCGTCTCCCGTACCATTCATCAAATAAAGCAATGGTTTTGTTGTTGGATTTGATCATGTAGAAACCGGTGTTTATAAGGTTTCTTTCCGACCACTGATCGCCGTTAAAGTTGTCGACGCTGATCTCCATGTCAACACTTCCGTCGAGAGTGAGTCTTGGAAATGGGTTTCTTAGCCATAATACATCTGTGTCCTGTGATGGATTCAACTTGCAACCATCAATTTCAACCCATAAATCTTCGATTAATTTTTTTTAAAATTTTATAATATCTTTAAATTTATATTTTATTCAAAAATAAAAACAATTTCTTTTTCTTAAAACCATGTAAAATCACATTATAACATCGCTAGATCCAAAATATAAAATGAAACATTAAAATCAAAATGTATCTTGATGCATTGTATGAATACCCTTCTGATATATGTAAATAGATAAAAGAGAAGTGAAATATATTTTCTTAATTATTCCTATTTGCAGCGCAGCTGAAAATCACATATAACATGTTTCATGATTAATGAGCTTCAAAGTCATGTGCTAAATAATATTTAAAAAAAGCATGTGCAATTTTATATGAATAATTATCGTTTGACCTCATATTAACTAATATAATATAATTAAAATAATATATTTCAATTGATATTTCTTTCGCTTAATTAGGGGTCTTTTACCAAACGCTTACTCGAATAAGCGCTTATCAAGTCATATTAGCTCATCGGATGAATATGATAAGAATAAAGAATCTTACATCGTAAGAGCGAGACAAGAACCAAGAGTCTTACTCGGTAAGTGAGTGTGACGACTCTTACCATGGTAAGCACTTACCAGGTAAATTGTTGCATGCGATGTCGTTTTTGTAAACTAAAATCTTACCCGATAAGTATATAATAATGTTAAATTTTATTATACGCACAACAAAAATTATATCAAGATATAAAATTGTACTTGCAATGGGTTCTTACGTAATAATAAATCTTAAGAGAATACAGATTTGGTCCTTATATTTCGATGGTTTTTATAATTAGGTTGTTTATATTATTTTTTAATATGGACTTGGTCTATGGCTATGACTTTTTTGACTAATATCGTAAAAAACTCCGTTAACTTAGTTAAGTTGAGGGGCATTTTTGTCTTTTTAACCTAATTTTTGTCCTTTTCGTGTTTAAGAATATAAAAACAATTATATTACATAAAATATACGTGTATATATAAATACACACACTTTTATCTATATAAATTATTTTTAAGAGGAAAAAGACAAAAAAATGTAAAAATACCAAAATGCCCTTAACTTAACTGAGTTAGCAAAGTTTTTAACGGTCTTAGTTAGAGGAATCATGGTCATGACAAATTGAATACCACGAGACCAAATCTATAATAAACATAATATAAAGACCTCAGTTATAATTAAACATCGAAATACAGGGATCAAATTCATAATTCACTCTAAATCTTAATTAAAAAAAGGAAAGTAAAATAGACGTTACTTAATCTTTGGGTCAAATCGATTTAAATTCAAAGAATCATAGTAGATACTTGATTTCTTTTAAACATAGTACTTACAAAATCCTAAATAGTTAATACATTAAATAATATGTTGACTTATTGATCTTATAAACTTAACAATTGTGGCCATTGAGTTATCAAGACTGGTTTTTTACGGTCACAATTTGTCGGGATTGTTCCAAGCATGGCCTGGAACAACCAAAAATTAAGTGACATCCGATAAACGCTTATCCAGTAAGAATTGATAAACAACAAAAAGTTAATTTACAAGGTGTATTTGGATGCATTTATGGATTTTAATATAAAAGAAGTTTTCTTTCTCTTCATTTTGTAACATTTTCTTCGATTTTATGAGGGGGGAGAGCTTTTAATTCAGATGGTATACGTTCCTAAAAAGCACACCAAAATAAACGCATTAAAGAGTCAAATCTTTAAAAACCGACTTACCGTGAAAACGAAGTTGTATCCACGCCGGAGAACCTCGTTCAGAAAACGTGTTCGTTGCCACATCATCTTTATGAAGTCCTCCGACATGTAAACCTTCTCGCCGACGAAATCCCCGCCCTCCGTTTTCAGTTTGTAACAGTGTAACCCAAGAAATCTGCACCGTTCAAACGCCGTCTGATCAACTGCCACGACCAAAAGGTGGTTCTTCAGTTGCCGTGTATCTTCTCCTAGCCAAAACCCATCTAGGAACATATCCAGCATGGGTTTATCGCCCTCTGTGTAGGCTTTATTCACAACCGCTATGATCACAGTTTTGTTCGCCATGGAAGCTCCTTCCAATGCCATTTCTAACTCGTCTTTATACACAGTGGCGTTAGGCTGCAATCACAAGATAAAAGGTATTAGATGTATAAATTTATTGGGTTTTCAGTTTCATGTCTGTAATTCAAGAAAACCTTTCAAAAGTATATGATGATCATGAAGCTAATTTACCTTGGATAATGAGGGTTTTGAAGGATAAAGCTTCTGTCTTAAGGCGGTTATGGATACCGATGGGTTTTCTTCTGATAAAAGATATATAAAAACGAAGGATAGAAGCAATAAAGTGCAAAGGGCAACAGGAAGTTTAGCCATGGTTGATTGCTCCATTGCTGCCACTGCTTCTGTTGCAGGTTAATTTGACGATGATCTGGTGGAGGAGGAGGGCGGTGGTTTGTGGTGGTCCGTGGCTAGTTGGCTTACTGATTTAATGAATGTATATGAGAAGGGATTTGCAAAAACTTAGGTGAGAGTAATTGTGGTTTGTAATGAATTCATGTTGGACTTGACTTCATAATATAAGACTTTGCGGGGGGTTTGATTAATTGGGTCTATTTTGGTATTTATGATTCTTTATACGTTTCGTAATAATAATATATATTTAAATGAAATAACAAAAACACAATGAAAGCAATCGTTATAATCTAAACCTTCCATTTTTACATATTATATGTATATATATAGGAAAGAATTTAAATAAGAGCACCTTCATTTTACGAGAATGTAAGAACATCTTTTTATTATAGACAATCACATGTGATACTATTATTCCATCATATATGATACACATGTGATACTACTAAATCAGAGATGCAGATGATTTTCGATGCTGGCTTGGTTGCGGGCCAAGTCGCCCTTACACCATTAAGCTTCCTCACAAGTATTATCACCTGTGATAAGGTTGTTGTTGATATAATACTATAATCCATCAAGACCATCATATGTGATGCTAAATCATAGACGTAGAGAACCTTTGATGCGGCCTAAGTCGTAGAATACATCGTCCACACATTGCAGGTCCTTTCACGCGTATTATTACATGTGATAAGGGTGTTCTCGCGTTCTTATAAAATGAAGGTGTTATCGTTTGAACCTACACACACACACACACACACATATATATATATAAGGTTGAGTTTTGTTGAGAATGTAGTTATGATGAGAAAGGTAAGAATGGATCTCCACATTTGGATCAATCTTAACTGAAGATCAACAGTAATGAGATGCAGTGAGATACTCTAGATCAGTTCTCATGAGAAACGTAATTTATGTGGTGGGGGTGAGATTAAAAGTGATCAAGGGTCCCTTCTTACGTTTCTCAACTTAACTCATATTCTCACACGATCTTTCTTCTATGTGTGTGTGTGTGTATGTACATTTTTGTTGGTCATTTTAGTGTCATCAAAGATGATGGTGTAAATTGTGATTTACAAGGGATTGATTAGGTGATAAGGCAAACAAAACATGAATTAGAAGGTGTGGAATGCACACACACAAATGTTACACCTATCACCTTAATCGTTACAAAACATGGTTAAGGTTGCAACCCCTTGTGGGGTCCTAAGCAATAAAGAATTGAAATATAGTATTTTTAAAGTGCAATTGATACACGATAAAAGAACTTATTCTAGTGATTGTAATCACGATGCGCAAATTCTCAACAGTATTTTTCGTGTATATCTACTTCCTATGCATTTTTTCAGGTGTACCTTTTTTCCTTGTGCATGTTCTTTTAGCGTAAAATGTGAGTTACAAGGGATCAACTAGGTGATAAAGCAAACGTATATAACGTGAGTCAAGAGGTGCGGAGTACACATTCACAAATGTGTTTCTATCACCTTAGATCGTTATAAAGTTGGGGTTAAAGTTGCATTCTTTGTGGTCGTAGGCAATAAAAGGTCGAAATATAGCATTTTAAAGTGCAATTGATAGACGATTCAAGAACTTATACTCCATATGTGTTTTTCATGTGTGTGCTTTTTATCCTTGTGCATGTTCTTTTACATGCATGTTCTTGTGCATGCTACAAGGTATTCTTTAATAAAAACTAGAAGGGTATTCGTGCAATATAGCGAGATACATCTTGATTTTATTGTTTCGTTTTATATTTTGGGTCTATCAATGTTATAATGCGACTTTACGTGGTTTTAAAAAAAATTTATTTTTGAATGAACTATAAGTTTGAAGATATTATAAAACTTTAAAAAAAATAAGCAATATTAGTATCAAATTAATTATTTAAAAATTATTGTTTTTATGTAATTTCTTTAATTCAAATTTTTATTATAATTTAACTGAAGTTTAAAAATGAACTAATTTTTTTTTTGGTTTAATAAAATAATTTATTTAAGATAATAAATAAGTATTCTGTTAGAACTCAATGATTATCTTAATCATTTTTTAATTTTTTTATATTTAAAACGAGATGTTTATCCTTTATTTGATTATATTTATCCGCAGTTAATTACACGAATTCAAACATTGAGTTTTAATAAGTTGTACTTATGCATAATTTACTTGTAATCTTGAATTTTAAGTAATATGCATCAATATACAATACTTTATGCATAAAAAATAGTTTTTAAGAATTTTTATCAAATGCTTTATCTATAATATATTATAAAACATTTGACAAAAACTCTTAAAAACTATTTTTTATACATTAAGTACTGTACTTTGATGCATATTACTTAAATTTCATATTACAAGTAAATTATACACAAGTACAACTTATTAAAGCTCCATGTTTGAATTCGTGTAACTAATTACGGATAAACATAATCAAATAGAGAATAAACATCTTATTTTAAAATATAAAAAAATCTAAAATATAATTAGGATAATTATCGAGTTCTAACAAAATAATTGATTATTATCTTTATAGGAAAATTATATTATTAAACCAAATATAAATTACTTCGTTATTGAACCTAAATTAAATTATAATAAAAAAATTGAATTAAAAATTACACAAAGAATAAAGAATTTTAAATAGTTAATTTGATACTAATATCGATATATTTTTGTTAAATTTATATTTTATTAAAAATAAAAACATCATCGTTTTTTTCAAAATCACATAAAAACCATATTATAACATCGACTGAGATAAAGAGTAAAATGAATTATTAAAATCAAGATATATCTCGCTGCATTGCACGAATACCCTTCTAATAATATACTATATATTAATAAGTGCTTTTAAATGTATAAGTACAAAAGTGTTACTTTTTAATTTAATTCCTAAAATTACAGGTGATATGCTCTCAAATCTATATATCAATATAAACTGTTATTTGATTAGACAATGCATATAGGACTTGTACCATTTTGAAACTACATTATTACTTAATTAATTACGAGTAAAATTGAGTTTTAGAAAAGCCTTATGATACACATATTAATTGAACTAGAAGGGTATTCATGTAATGTAGCGAAATAAATCTCCAATTTAATGTTTAGTTTTTATTCTTCTCTATCGATATAATACGGTTTTATGTGGTTTTGAGAAAACGATAATGTTTTTATTTTTGAATGAAATATAAATCTGAAATTAACATAATTTTTTTTTAAAAAATCGATATTAATATCAAATTAACTATTTAATCATTCTCGTTTTTGGTGTAACTTCTTTAATTCAATTTTTTATTATATGTTAATTTAGATTTAATAACAAAGTAATTTATTTTTGCTTTGATAATATAACTTTTTATAAAGATAACAATTAAGTATTTTTGTTAGAACTCAATGATTATCTTAATTGTATTTTAGATTTTTTATATTTAAAATGAGATGTTTATCTTCTATTTTATTATGTTTATTCGCAGTTAGTTACACAAATTCAAACATGAAGCTTTAATAAGTTGTATTTATACTCAATTTACTTGTAATCTCGAATTTTAAGTAACATGCGTCAATAAACAATATTTTATAATATAATATAGATAATATATGTACAATAATAAATTTTTTTCTAATTAATCGAAAAATATTGAATGTCACCAAATGCCACTAACCTAAATAACATAATTGATTTTTGCCACTGTTTTTATGAAAATTTTGTATTTTAGGGGCCGTTTACCAAAATGCTTACTCGGTAAGCGTTTACCAATATGAGTCAACATTATAATTTATTTTGATGCGTAAGATTTTAGTACATCAAAACCTATTGAATGCAACAATTTACTGGATAAACATTTACCTGGTTAGAGACGTCATCCTCACTTACCGGGTAAGACTCTCCATCATTTTTATCGCTCTTACTCGGTAAGATTCTTGGTTCTTCTCATATTCATCCAATGTGAAAATTTATGTATTAAACACTTACCAAGTAAGTATTTAATAAACGGTATCTTAGGTTTAAATATCTGTAAGATTAAAACGAATTACCTTGAATTTATAGTATTAATTAAAAAAAAGTGATTAAAAAATCATTTTTTTCAGATTTTAATAGTAATAATAAAAAAAAGCACTAATTAAAGTACACTCGTCATGCTTTTAGTGCCATTGTTAGCTAGGGATGTAGGTGATGAGTCATGAATTCGTGAGACCCAAAAAATAGTTATTTTTTCAGTTTTATTTGTTTATACTGTTTTTAGGCAAATCTATACTATATTATAAAGCATTTTGACAAATATTCTTAAAAAATATTTTTTATGCATGAAATATTATTTATTGATGCATGTTATTTAAAATTTGAAGTTACAAATAAATTATACATAAGTATAATTTATTAAAGCTACATGTTTGAATTTGTATAACTAACTATAGATAAACTTTATCAACTATATGATAAACATCTTATTTTAATTATAACAAATCTAAAATATAATTAGGATAATTATCGAGTTCTAACAAAATAATTGATTATTATCTTTATAGGAAAATTATATTATTAAACCAAAAATAAATTACTTTACTATTAAACTTAAATTAAATTATAATAAGATATTTGAATTTAAAAAATTACGTAAAAAGAAAAAAATTCAAATAGTTAATTTTTGATATTAATATCGACATATTATTTTTCAAATTTTTATGAATATAAACATTATCGTTTTCTCAAAATCATATAAAACCGTATGATATCGATAGAGACAATAAAATAAAATGAAACATTATCTCGATGTATCTCGTTGTATTATGCGAGTATTCTTCTAGTATAAATAAAAGAAAGACAAAAATGCTGGGAAAAATCAAAATAAAACGACGAAATAAAATAAGTCACATTTTCTTGCCTTTGTCTTTTCAAAACCGTACATAACTTGTCCACCTTTAACAAACTCCGGCTCTTAAATTTTTTTAGACCATTCAAAATAAAAAAAAAAATATCAAAATTAATATTAAGATATTTTTTTTGATTAATTTGGATATCCAACCCGCTATTTAAGT